GAATGTAATCTTGGCTTGCTAAATTTTTCTTAATTGAGTATGTGAATATGAATACCTAATAATGCAGTTGAAGTAAATAATAGTTTGCAATATTGTGAATTTAATAGGTTAAAAACAGTGCACATTCTAAGGGCACATAATTCTTCTTTTATAATTATTGACATTATTTTATGCTAAGATCAAAACCTAAATAATTTTTGTGCTTTGATCTTTGAAATTGGTTTTAAGATTCCACTGTTCAATGAGAAGACATTTATAGGAAATGTTACCCAAATTATTTTTTTATGAGAAAATAAACAGAAGTCATCATGTAGATTTTGAGTTGTGACCCCTTTACCTTAGACTTGTGACCCCACACTTAATGATAAAATGAAGAAGATATAATTAAGTGTGCCAGGAAAACCAAAAGAAGGCGGATAAATGTTCCCATGTAGGTTGCTTAGCAGCATGCCTTATTTAGTGCTAAATAGCTTTTTTCTTAATACCTTCAGAGCATTTAGTTTTTGCTACTAGATGCTTCATTATTGTTAGTCATTGATACAAAACAATATTATTATTCATTTCCTTTAATTTGAAACTTTGGGGAGGCTGTAAAAATGAAAAGATGGGTTTTTATGATATGTAAAATATAGTTTTTAAGACATTTTAGAGCCTCAATAAGGTTTGGTTTGGCTATTTTTGGTTTGGCTATTTTAGTCCCCAAATCACAATACCCGATGTATATGTTTTATTGTGTGTAATTATGCACACAGTAATTTCTCATTACAGAACACTACTTTGGAATGAGTGATTGGAGGCTAGATCTAGAGGTAAATCAGAATTTTAAAACTGTTTTAAAGAGATGAATTTATTACTTACAAGGACACTTAAAATAAATTAGTTGTGTATGTGTTGTTTTCCCTAATAAATTGTGTGTTCTTGAAGAAGGGTAATCCAGTACATAACAACATATCTAGAACAGGGGGAATGCTCAATAAACGTTTGATTGAATTAATGAATAATGAACTATGTAATGACTAAAAAATTATTCCCTTTAACAAATACATAAGAACAGTTTTTAAAAGGCACAACTTGTTAAAGTATCTCCTTTACAACTTTATGTTTGCATATTGCATTACACTTTTCAAAAGTGAATTCACACATCTTACTATGTTTAAGCCTCATCATGAACCCTCATGTCAAAAGGCCTTATTATTTTTATTTTGCAAATAAGGAACTGAAGCAATGAGAGGCAAAATGATTTGTCGATGATAACAAACTAGTCATATCATAGTTGGAATCCATGTCTTCTAACTTATTTCTCCATGACATTTTTTCTATTCATAAACACGCTTTAATGACTAGATGTAAGCCTTTTACAGGACTCTCTTGTTTTGGTTCTACTATCCATTCCTTTTATTTAATATTTTCTCAACCATTTTGTTTATTCTTACTTTCTATTCTAAATTCCTGTATGCACTTCTAGTTATAAGTCAAGCATAAATTAGAATTGAATAATTTCCTGTGTTCTCTCTGTAACATCGCAAAAGTATACTACTGAGACAAATGTAAGCACATGGAGGTTTCTACTTCAGGTCATATGGTGGACTAGATGTCCTCCTAGTATAAAAAGAATGGGCTATGCTTTGTGGAAGGCAGAAGATAAACCCTAGGGCCCAAGCTGGGTGTGTGTGTGTGAAATCAAAGACTCCCACACAAAGCCAAGAACTTGCAAACTGAACATCTTTAGTAGGTGAACTAGAAAGAAACCTTGCTCCACAGAGCAAGACTGTCAGTAGACTTGCCTCTCTCAGCGATGGGGAAGGAAAACAAAACAAAACAAAACAAAACAAAATAGAAAGTGTCTCCCATCTATTCCTAATCATAGGGCTGCTTTGTAGCTGATTTAAGGCTAGAAACCACATTACCTATGTATCTCCCACCCTTCATCCCCTCTCAAGCCGCAAACTTAAAGTGATGTGAATTTGATAATAACATCAGCAGTCAGGCAAAAAAAAAAATCAACTTCTCCCTGAAGAAATGAGTTTTAAACTCAGGTCTTAAAAAATTTCCAGAGATAAAATTCCAAGGAATACGGGCTTAATAAACAAGCCATAGTGAGTAAGAGTTACAGAAACAAACTATAGAATCAGACCCACGAGACACTAATGATTTAGAAACATCAGATACATAATATAAAATAGGTTTCTTAATGTACTTGAAGAAATGGAAGAGGATACTGAGCATATGATGAAGGAAAAAGACATCAGAAATGACCAGGCAGTGGGCACCTGGGTGGCTCGGTCAGTTAAGCATCTGCCTTTGGCTCAGGTCATGATCGCAGGGTCCTGGGATCGAGCCCCACATCAGGCTCCCTGCTCGGCGGGAAGTCTGCTTCTCCCTCTGCCTGCCGTTCCCCCCAGCTTGTGCTCTCTCTCACTCACTCAAATAAACAAATAAAATCTTAAAAAAAATGACCAGGCAGATAAGAAGAACAAAAGAGAGTTCTCAAACTGAATATGAAATCATTGAACTTATTAGCAAATTCAGTGGGATCAGAAAAACTGAAAGCCGACAAGTTGGCAGCTGGTACCCTGGCTCAAAATCAATCAACCCACAGAAGGGAGAGGGTCGTAAGGCCCTAAGGATAGAACATAACAGATCTAGAACATCTCAAGGAGAATGAAGGTAGTCACGGACTCTGTATGTGTGTTTGTGTGTGCGTGTGTGTGTGCACACTATAGGGGTTGGGGACAGAGTTTGCGGCAGCCCCGGATAGAGGATGGTGGACACAGCAGTGGGAGGAGAGGTAGGGGAGGAGTTTTTAGTTCCTGCTTTGGCCTCTCCCCCAAATTAAGTATCCGATGGATACAGTTTACATCATGGGGTGAAGAGATCATAGCAGTTAGAAGCAACAGATTAAATATATATGTACATATACATATATATATAGTAATATGAATATATCTTTAAAAATATAGAGCTTAATAAGAAAATTAAGAAGGATGTCATATATAGAAAATTCGTTTATGTAAATTAACATGCACACAGGTAATATGTTTTATAAAAATATAAACTTATGAAAAGACAAATATCAAACACATTAGAATGTTTCCCTATGATGGGGAGAAGTATAATGGTGAAGATTAGAGATAAGATAGAATAAGTAGACAAAGCCAGAGGGGCCTTGCTTGGACAAATTATAATTGTGTACCATAAACTAAAAACGAACTCCATGGATGAGATAAAGAGCAGATTAGGCACACCGTATAGAGACTAAATTCACAGTGAGATCTAAACAAATTACCTAGAATGTAAAGTAGAGGTAGAAAATATGGGGAGGAAAGGTCAAAGAACATGGAGTATAGAGTGAGAGGATCTAATAGAGTCTGGGAGCGGTACTACTCAGAGGTTATGGCTAAGAATATTTCCTACCCGATGAAAGACACATTCTCAGACTCGAGGCACTGTGACATGCAAGCGTGATTAATAGAGACTAAGAACATCAAAGACAAAAAGAACACATTAACGCTATCAGAGAGAAGAGGCAGACTGCCCTCTGAAGAATTAAACTAATGGCTAACCTTTTGATAGCAACAATGGAAGCCGTAAGAACATGCAGAATCTTCAGAGTGCTGGGAGGAAATAGATTTGTGCGCACAGAAAAATCATCTTTCAAGAACAAGGGCAAAAGTAAAGATGCTTCTGATCAACCAAAAACAGAGTTTAGCTAGCAGAGCCTCACTAAGAAATGTTTAGAGCATGTACTTCAAGAAGGAGGCTATAAATGTTAGAACATCTACTTATTATTAAGTACTGTATTTTATAATGATACTTTAATAATCACTTTGCTTTCTTAAAAACAAAAGCATGATCGTAGAAGTTCCAATCCACGCAACACAAATTAACTGAATTTTATTACCTGCTTTTCCTGTTTAAATACAGTAGCATCATTTAGGTCAGATGCCAATCTCCGGGTAAGCTGAAATTAGAAAGCTTTGAATCATGGACACAATGCTACACTGTGGCATATAAAATTATACTGCATTCCATAACAGTGTAACTCAAAAGAATACAGATAAACTCCAGGTCCAAAAGGTGATGTGTCAAGAACAAATACTGCGATCTGGTTTCTCAGTTTATATAAATGGAAGGATTTAGGAAAGAGTTCACTGCAATACTGGTATAGCCCTCAGAGTTTACACTAAAACCAAATGCTACCATCAATCCTGTCATGATTTTAACATTTGCTCTTAACAACAAACCTAATACTAACGTCTCAGGCAAATGCTGAATATATAATAGGTTCTGTGTGTTCTTATACATTAAATCTTCTCAGTATCTAACTTAACTTGAGTGGTCTTACATAATGAGAAATTTTGTTGCATTGAGCCATAGTATACAAAGTAATAAAGAACATTTATGGATGATTAAATATTGAAGTGAAGTTGGAGCATTTAATCTACTGCAAAACTCATTTAAGGCAAAAGTACCCAGGTGATATAGACATTATTGATATTACACTTGAAGGGAACATTTTCATCCAGTTTACCTCATGGAAATTTAGTTTCCTTCCCTGAGAATTTTGAATTTGTTAGACTGTGTCCATTTCCAGCACAAATTTCCACTAGTACATAAAGTGTGATTTTACATATTAGAGAAGAATCTGAGTGACTTAAAAAAATCCCACAGTGCCAAATTTATTGTGGTACATTTACCATGCATGACGAGCGAAAATCACAATATGTAGAAAAACATAAAAAGGCTATTTTGAGTTTATCATTATGCTGATTATGATGTCAATTTTCATGTCGACATCCTCTTTTAGTTTACGATGGGTTTTTTGACCAAGTAAGAACTGGACTGATCGCAGATCAAATATAAATTGGCACTTTTTAAACAAACAAACAAACAAACAAACAAACAAAGCAATTATATTTGCAGAAATTCAAGACAAATAGAAATTCAAGAGCCGAGGACATTTAGGTTAGTTCAGATAGATTTCTTTTCTTTCCTTATCACTTCTTTTAAGATCTTACTTTGTACCTAAATAAAACATCAGAAGCTGGATGCTGAATACCAAACAAAAGGCGACTGTAGTTTGCTTCCATAGGTTTAGCATCAATTATTTCTAAATCAAAATAAGTTAAAAGTATAACCAACAATTGCTTTACTTCAACAATTGCCAAAAATCGGCCTGGACATTTGCTGGCTCCAAATCCAAATGGCAATAGGTAATACTTCAGCTTTTTCCCGTTTTTGAAAAAGGCGGTTTTCTTCTTACCATCTTCTACAAAACGATCAAACCTAAACTCCTGTAGAGAAGAGATAAGGAGTTTAGTTAAAGTGCAAAATTTACATGAAATAGTTTGAGGTCAGGTCCACAAAGTTGCCCGCTCTCTCTGTCTTTCTGAAAGGCTCCTCTGAATCCTGCAAACGCCCAGAGAGTAAAATTTGACTAGGTGTAATTTGGGGATGAACTTTCAAAAAAACTCAAATGCTACTAAGAAATGACTTCTCCCTTATCATGGTGAAATAAATGCACATAACTATATGACTTCTCTTCCTAATTCGCATCTCTCTCTTATGCTGAGGCTCCTACATGTAGAGATAGTCTCTGTATTTTTGTTCCCTAAGATGGTCCCACTTGGTGGACTGATGTTGGGTAAAAGGTAAGGACTCCTGCATGGCCACGGGATATTGACTTCTATTGGCCACAGGAGCTGCCTAATATGCTTTTTCTAGTCCTTCCTGATGGATGAGGACTGTGAGCTTAGGATTCAGTGTTTATGTTTGGGTTAAATAGACATAAAATGAAATTTGAAATTCACATGTAGCACTATAGAGGAACTGAGCCACCAAACCCATCTTGCTTGTTTTTTGATGTTGTACTGAATTTCTCCTAGCATGGTGCTATTACAATGGACTCTCTTTGGGCTATCTCTAGGGTGGCAGGTATTTCCAATATGTTTTCATGAATAAGTTACATTAACTTGTTACAGAAAATTACGGGACTGGTTTATCTAGGGTGTTTAGCCTGGCATTAATTTACTCTCACTTGGTTTCTGAGAAGAAACTGAGTGACCTTATTTCAGCCCATGGTGAATTAAGCCATTGATTAAATTAATGCATGTGGCATGCATGAAAATGACCAAGTATTTCCTATACTTGGTGCTCATTAGCATTAGACCTGCTCAGCACACAAGTCTGATATGAACTACATGAAGTCAGAGGCAAAGAAGCAGGTCAGACTGAAAGCATTTCATGTTACAGTGAAAACCCTACAATATGTGGATGGATTCTGACTCCATCGCAAATGATCTAATTTTCTCAATATGAATGCCATCAAAATAATTTCCTTTAAAAAAGTATTGGGCTTGTCTTCTACCTAGATACCTATTTTGATAAAGATTCATGCTTGGAAAGCACACTATGGGTGGTTTCAATTCCCCTCCAATTTGCAAGTTGGTGCAATCCTAAGGGCCAAATTAATCTACATTAGAACACAAGTATTTTCCACCCCCACAGACAGTTCTGGGATGCATCTGAATAGGAACTAACTAGTGCTAAACTAAAAATATCTGTGCCCCCCTGTAGTAATGAACTAGGACACTCTGGTTGACATGCACTTTGTTATTGGAGATAGAGTACAATATGGTACTCTCTCCTGATGACCTTTTCCGTGATTGGGGCCCAAGCCTGCTTGTCTGAGTTAAGGACTGGTGCTGCCACCTTCTCACTGACCAATCTGAGGAGAGAATGCTCCACAGGAGCTCCTCACATAGTCACATCAGTTCAAGTGAACTTACTCATGAAATAATTTGTTGGAAAAAGATCTCACTATCGCCACACTAATTAAGCCAGGAGATACAAAAGGAAAACTTGACTTGCGTTATGACTTCAGTGTCCCGATTTCATAAATAAGCCAACAATTGCTTTATTTCATAGCTGTCCTGTTCTTCTTTGTGAAAGTGAATGTACTGCCGTCTGAGAGGCCAGTAGGATAAATGCATGATTCTCCCCCATCCCTGTGACCTATAGGTAGTGTTCACCTTCAATTTCCTCAAATTTCTACTCAATCAGCAATGTCACTCCTCTAGTTTTCTACCACCTTCTATCCCATTTCTTTATAGTAAACATCTTAGAAATTCCTACTTAGTTGTTTATATTATGAAACAAGAATAGGAAAGACCAACTTCTTTTGCTCTGTTACTACCATCAAGCTCAAAGGGCACATAGGCATAAATATATTTTTGAGTTGAGATTTATTTTCAATTTGTTTTCCATTGTCAGGGCATGCAGAACTAGAGCAGAAACCAAAGGACAGGCCTGTGGCAGAGGCTAGGGAGATGGTCTGGTTTTTGCCAAAAAGAGAAGGGGTATAACAGTCTCACCTGTAAGATTCTGGGGTCACAGTGACATAGAATAAAGTGTTATGAGCTCAAGGTGCACGCATTCATTTGGAGGAACTTAAATGCAGGCCTTATCATGTTGATGTAAACTCTTTGCAGTCACCCTAATAGCTCAGCACTTCACAACTGAAGACAGTCAATTAAATGCCATATTATTAAGCGGATGAGAATAGAGAAATCATAAAAGAAAGGGTATGACACTGTAATTCCCCATTACTCCTCTCATAATTCTTGTGGTTGACTTCTGAACATCTTTCTTCTGCTGAAGTTTGTCTAGGCACCCATCACGGTAATCACACTGCTCTGGCCTGTGACTGAGGATAGGGTGTGTAAATCAATCTCGTCACTGTTACAGAGGAAACCTCTGTGAGGACATCTGATAGAACTTCCTTTCTTGTGAACAAAGAAAAACAAATGAACAAAAAAATGGTTAATGACCCTTCTCCTCTGGACCTAGTTCTATGTGATTCTGATGCTGGCAACAGCTATGGTCACCAGGTTACAATGGAGCTAACCCACAGGAGATGGCAGAGCCAAGAAATCCCAGGAGATCGGAGTTGTCACATTGTCTTATTTATCTCTGTATTTTCAAAGCACCCAACATAGTGCTATGTACATAGTAGAGGTTCCATATACATTTGTTGAATTAATGAATAAATACATGACAATAAAGTATATTTTAAAAGCAATCTTCAGGCTTCTGAAGAAAACACAGATATTGAATGAGTAAATAAACATGTAGAGAATGAAGCGTAGATGAATATTCAGCATTCATAAATAGAGAATGGTATAATATTTAGCACTAGAAATCAAGATTGGATACATGATACAATTTTCTGGATAGAAAAGAGTTTTGGTACAAGTGACTGAGGAGCCTAATTTGTGTGCTCCAATATTGTGTTTAGTTCAGTTTAAGAGATTTGTTTTGAGCACTTCCTGTATGTGAAACATTGAAGTTAAAAAGGCATTAAAATGTAGTCTTGCTGAGGTGGGTGACACACAATATAATCAGGGTTCGTATTCATTCAATTATCATTTTGGGTGTAGGAATCCAGATTAGAGGAAAGAAAAGTTTCTAAAATAAGAACTGTCAGTGTTTTGAGTGGATGACTAAGGGGCTACACTCTTGCCCTGGGTTTACAATCAGCCCTACTGGGAGCAAGATGACAGAGTTCCTTTTTATCTGCATGACTTAAGTTCCAATTCGTTTGTACTAGCTCGAGAGAGTGTGCACATCTCCTCCCAGCTCTGCGTTGAGGGTCTTCATATTAGTCACATGAAATCAGTCACGTGGGAGTATTTAAACCACAAACATTGAGAAAATCAGGGCTTTTCAGAGGGCTGTTTTACCAGCACACTGCTGATTCCAACATAGTGGGCATGAAGGCCAATTTACCGGTATGGCAGAAACCCTCTCAACACGAAGCACTTAGCTCTGAGAACACAGCTGTGTGATAAGGCCAATTCCCTGAACTTTAAGCTCTTAAAGACAAGGACCTTTTAAATTTCTGTGCACCCCATTATGTCCATCAAAGTACTTTTAGGATAACAGATGCTCAGTATACATTTGTTTCCCTGAAGTAGACTGGTGGCATGATCTCTATTCCTATTTGAGGTACAGACAAAAAATTAGAGTATTTCCTCATTTGTTATGACTAGCATATTTGTAGAACAGTGACAATAATCAGAAAAATATTGAGACAACAGTTTTTAAAGTGATTTAGAATTTATTCAAGGGCTTTCAAATTCGTTTTATCATTTCAGAGTCCGTACACGGCTAAGAAGTTAGATAGGGCAGACTTGCATGAGGTCAAGTAAGGTCTTTCAGCTTCAGAGGTTTTGGGAGTGCTCCAATGGCTTTGTAATTACTTTGTTGTTTCCCTGTGTCCTTACTTTAGGAGGCTACATGGCTGCGATAAAGTGTTACCACCCTAAAAGTTTGCTGTTTCTTCCCTATGGCTCAACAGTGTTTCCAGGCTTCCCTTTGTACCTTACCACCTCTGGCCACAGAAAAACCAACCAATAGATTTGCTCCTCTTCATAGCTCCAGGTTGGGATGCTGCATTTTGGCAGAAAGGAAATCATCACCATTTACCAGTTATTTGAGCGCCAGTTGCTTGAATTCTGGCTAATAATAGATGTAAAGTTGAGGAAGCCTTCAGAAAAATTTAAAAAGCTATCTATTCTTAGTTAAATGATCTAGGCTTTTTTGAATAGCATTTAGACCAACGAGGAGAGGGAAAAGAAAATTGAGAAGGGGTGTTTCCTGTGCTCTCTCTCTCATTGTCTTCAATTTTAGTTGCCAACTGATTTCCCATATAGGCAAGAGCCACCTAAGTGGCTATTATTACAATAAACTAAGCACCCAATACTCAGAAAAAGAATAATTCTTTAGACAGAAGTTACATGTTGATAGCTTATAGACCAAATTAGGTCCCCAAACACTTTTTGTTTAGCCCATGTTGTGTTTTTAAACATTGTTTATCCAAACCTTTAGAAATTCTAAAGTTTACCCCAAAATCTGTTTTCTGAGTTTTTTTTTTTTTTTTTTTAATGACTCAGCCATGCTAGGCCTATGTGCCTGTAAGAGCTGAAGGCTAATTCAAAAGTAGCCAAATGGTCTTATTTAGATACTTCTGGGCTCTCCTTTCCTCATAGTTTTTACCACTCCTGATAGTATTGTTACATTTATACACAAGCCACTTCATCCATTTGTTCTAGTTAGGTCCAGTACATATTTGAATATGCAATATCGGTGGTGATTTAAAATTCTAATTGAAGTGTATTTTCTCTTTCAGAGCATTCATCCCTTCCAGCATCCCCTTATTTATTCGCCCTGTGGACACCCTCGTATGCTAGGCACTGAGAATGCAGAGAAGGCAGTGAGTGCTGTGGTCTTTCCACTTCTGGAGCTTACAGCCTATGGGAGCACAGACAAACCAACAAATAATTGGAAAACAGCAGGTGGTATGCACTATAACAAAGGTACAACAGGCCACAGAGTGGGCAATGGCAAATTCTCTGAGGAACGTAATGAGGTGGAAATCAGGAACACTGCCAAAGAAGAGGTGATCAAGGGTGATTCTTGTGGAGTAATCTGGAACCTTTTGAGTGGACAAAGAGGAACATTCTAGGAATAGAGAGGTGTGTGAAGGAAGGCCATGGACTCTTTTTGGAATGTGATATTCTAGAGTCTCTTGGGCTTGAACATCCTGAAATCATGCCTCATTGGGTTGGGAGAACCTATGTTCTGCGAAGGCTCTTCAGTATCTGTGTCCTCAAAGAAGAACTATACTTACATCTGGAGGTGGTCTTCTTCAAGTTTCTGGACTCATGGCTACTGTCTGTTTTCTATATCTAAGGCCTGGTCTTCCCGTTCAAGATCTATAGGGCGCAAAAGATAGGCAGTGGGGAATATGAGCCTCTGAAGAGCTTCTGGGTCTGTGCTCTCAGTGACAAATGGCCAAGGACAGAATTTCCCAGGATTTCCTTCTCTTTTTTACTGTCAGTGGATGGTGGTTTCAGATGGGCATCTGTTCTATGAGCATCTATAGCATCTACTTATTGTCATCCCAAGTTGATAAAAATGACAGGAATAAATCTATTTGTCTGATAGCAGTAGGTGCTCAGTAAATGTTCATAGAATGAATGATTATGTAAGACCTTGCCAAATCATATAAAAATGATTCTGAACCATGTCATATTTTTCTGTGCCAATAATGATCAGCATTCCACAACTAATTTCAAGAAAACAATGTTGGCAAAAAAACTAGCTAGTTAATTTTGGAGACCAAAGAACAGTACCGCAAAAACAGCGGTAAATTGGTAAACATTTATTGTGTATTTGCTGATAACTTTAATGTTGATTTTACTATCATGATATGAATGGTAAACAATCACTAGTGGAACAGTCACATAATGAAAATAATAAACAGACATTAAATAAAAAAAACTATAGATAGAAATAAAAGTTAAAATTTAAAATATTTTTTAAATATTAGTTATTATTTGCCCTATTTACTGAATATCTGTGTGGAATAATTTTTTTTTTATATTTACAAATGTGGAGACAAAGCTAGTTTTCCACAGAATGTTCATTCACTTACTAATACCCTACTTCTGATTTGTTATCACCTACATATAATGCCTCTTCTTCTGAAACACATAGAAACCATATGTTTACTTTCCCCCTCACTTAAAAAATTTTGCCTTTGCTCATGAAATAGATGCAAATGATTTCATTGTATTTGGAGTCTGTCCTCTTCTTATTAATTTCCAAAATTCAACACTATTTTCATCTAGCGTGGCTGCAAAACATCTAACCTAGAAATGGTTTAAAAGTGATCCCCCTATGAACTGCTCAAAAAGAGCACAGAAGTTTACCTTTGAAAAATAGCATTTCATATACAAAAACCACTGTAGTAAAAACAGTACTTCATGAGACACACAGGCAGAATATGACTGCATTCAATTTGCATGCAGGTGGTGAACCTCTGAAGTGGTATTAAGGGATGAGCCAGGGTGGATTAATTTCCAGTCTTTGATATTCATTAACTCCAGCTTCAGAAAAAAATACAAGGAGATGACACAATTACCCTCAGAGCTTCACCCGTGAGCAGCAGCTTTACAATCTCAGGTTCATAATGCCATCCTGATTGATCAAAAAGGGGCATATACCTTTGGTAAGAGGTGAAAAAGTATATGGGCTTAACTACGGCAATGATAGTGCTCGATCTGGGGACAGTACACCCCACTCTAGAAACACTTAGCAAAACAGTCCTCATTCTTTATTCTCTAAGCCACCTGTCATTAGCTAGCCCTCCATGGTTTTCAGTAATTCTCTGCCAAACAAAACCTATTTTTGGCCTAAAGGTAATTAATGATGGCCAACGTAAAATGCCCATTTCATTTGAAGAAGCCAGCATTTAGTCTCATCATTCTATTTCTATTTATAGACCACAAAACCTTTGAAGAGGGATCCTTAGGAAACACTTCAGTAAGTAGGAAAATTTTCCCATTGGAAGGCAGAACAGAAGTCATCAATCCCTCTCAAATTCCTTCTGGAACGAGGTGGCAGAAGGAAACCACGGAAAGACAGTGTGAGGAAGAGGAATGTGCTTGCAGTTATCTAAGAAGTAGCAACAAGACTGCCTAATGCTTGTTTACCTCTGGAGCTTCAAAGATTTCCGGGTCATAATGTATGGCTGGAGGAAAGATGGCTACCAAGTCCCCCTTTCGCAAACAGTAGTCCTGCGTCTCTGACTGTAGAGTCAAATCCTCTTGAACAAAACGAATGATGCTTGAAAATGAGCATAGTCGTAAAACCTCGAGAACGGTGCTTTCTGAAGGACACAAGCAAGCAACAGCTTATTAAAACATGACTGCTCCTGAACAGTGTTCTCAATTTGTCATTAAGCTCATTACCAATAGCTTTGATTGAAAAGGGAACCCTTTCCTAATCAGATCCATTGAGCACCAAGGGGAGAGCCATGGTGGTCTTGGACTCCCAGGGCAATGAGGAGGTGGGGGAGAGAGCTGTGACCTGGCCCCAGTCACAGACAGAAGGCTGCTGTGCTGTACTTGGGCAGAAAGGTTATTAGCTAGGATTTTTGTAGGAAGGAAAGGTTTGCAAGAGAGAAATGCTGTGTGATAGGTATATCCATTGGACATTAAAACCATCTCCCAGCCGAAGAACGCTGCTGGTGGGTTATTTCACCACCCTTCAGAACAGCTACGTCTTTAAAGCCAGGCTTAGGCATTTAATAACCACTTAGGCAGTTAATAGTAAAGTAATTGTAGTAGTGCTTTCTTCAATGGCTTAACACTTAATTTCTTTTATGCTAGCTGTAAATAAAATGTGGGTCAGCATTTGTTGGAAAAATTTCAAAGAAGAAAAGACTTTCATAGGATTCAGAAGAAAACCGTATTTTCCTCAGCATCCAGAGAAAATAATAGCCACCATCATAACCTGGAAGATTCCAGAAGCTGAATGTCCTTGCTTTCCCAGTGGCCTTCACCTTTTGCTCCTAGCACGACAGATTTTATGGCTAATTTCCGGCAATTTATCCTGGCAGTTTGAGGAGGAATTCCTTTGGGAATAATATGCATAATTTGCATAAATCATTCTGATAGCATGCATATCAGCATGTAGCTCCTGTCTAGGTCTGCATCTCTGTCTTCATAATCAAAACTGACTATGTTTTCACCAGCGTGAATGGGTCCTAGAATATAAAGCTTGATTCTTTCTAATCAGCAATGTGAAAAAGAGCTCCAGTTGAGCGTCTTCCCCCTTTCACATGGTAACAAATCGTTGTGTTTATGGCTTGCAATTTAGACACACACACACACACCAATTTCTTGGTGTTCAGCAAAGCTCAGAAACATAGAGTACTCAATTATTAGATTATAGCAGTGCACTGGTCAGTTCAGTGAGGGCTTGCATCAGCGAAAAAAGAAAAATAAATGCTATTTCACTAAAATTTAAATCTACGCACAGCTTGCACAGGGATATCAAGTAGCTTTGGGTGCCTTCTCCCCGGACATTTTCCCCTCAGCGTGCATTTGTCTAAAGAAATGAGGCTGCGGTCCACTCTGTGTGGCCAGTGTGGTGATTCAATGTGACGTACAGTGAAGCTGTGCATATTCTTTTGGACTGCCTTCGTTATTATAATCAGGCAGAGTCAAATCGGTTTGTTGGTGATGAGGCCAGAAAAGAACTTTGGTTTTGGAACGTGGACCCCACTGCAGATAGCCACAAGGCACCTGACATGACGGATTTCAGCTGGCAGGACACCAGTGACCAACATTTCTATGGTGAAAAGCAAGGGTCAGCTTCCCAGGTATGGCTGCTGGCTCTGTTGGATCAAGAACAGCACAGCACCATTTTCGCCTGTGGTGTGAAATGGTAGCTGACATATGTAGCAGTGCTGTTCCCCCAAGTCCAGTAGGCATGTGGGAAGAAGAAATGCAAAAGCAAAATCATTGTGGGGTGGCTCTGTGGCAGGGCAGGCATTTACCAGTCCGAATAACATGGTCCCATCCGATTGGCTGATGGGCTCGAGGGAAGCATGGCAGCTTGCGCCCACTGCGGGATCGCAAATGACAATTGGGCAAGCATATCTTATGCAGAAGTTAATCACAATAATGGAGCCCAAAGTGTGGCTTAGCGGTCAGATCGTAAATGACAAATCTGTTTTACCTTCCAGTACCAGTTATGTGTGCAAGACGAGGTTGGCTCTCGCTCTGAGCGATCATGCCGATAATCATTAGATGACAGAAGTAATGAGTTGCATTATTATCAACAATGGAGGGGGGAGCTTCCGTGGCTCTGCGTTACAACGTACAGACACAAAAGCCAGCAGCTTTTCCACCAGCCCCAGTAAGGACGCGGGTAGAGCTATATGTTGAGAAGAATGACAACTGCACAATAAAAAAAATTGCAGCCTCTACTTGTAGTTGTCATAGTTGAGCAGACACCAGCCAGTGCCACTGACAGACCAGCTGGGCCCTGGGAGGACTTCCATGCTGCACCAGGAGGTACAGTAAATTATCCTGCACGGGAGAGCAACATCTGTTTCTGTGCTACTGCCGAACAAACAAGGCAATTTAAAACATACCAAGGGATAACCAAGCAACAAATGAACATGACCCTCATTTTTTTCCCCCCTTCTCACACACGAGGTGTTAAACTTCATTGTGCAAGCACTCCACGAAAGAGAGGCCAGGTTGGTATTTGATAAGGTGTTGTCAGAGAGATTTTACATATTTCCAAAATGGAAAGAAAAAGCTTATAGTATTGTTATTCTTAGAATCCTCCTTCCCCCTGCTATCTTCATTTCTTTTATACCAAAGCTAGCACTCAGTTCTCAATTCGCTCTAGAATTAAAAAAAAAAAAACTTTCCATATACTTATAAATATTCAGTCTTTAAACCTAATTTGCTATACTTAGTTCACATGCCTTCAAGCATTTGTCTTCCAATTTCCACTGAATAAATGCGTACTAATGAGAAGTAGAGCAAGCTGCTGAGGCAAAGCTGGGTGACTTGGGTCTGGCCTGCCACCAGCTTGTGATAGGCGGGCAAATTGAGTTAAAATGAAAAGTCTTGTCAGCTGAAATTCAACATGGTAGCCAAACAGCAAGCTGTCAATCATCCAGCCAAAACAAGGGACTGTAGGTAATAAAAGGTCATTGTGATCATTAGTGCACTTGGCTTTCATATGCAAGTTAATTTTAATTAAACATGATCTCTATCTGTAAATGTTTTATAAAACTTATTGTACATAATGGATTGTTAATTTATACTAACATTTAGCAGGTAATAGGACCCTCTACTTATTAAATGCATTGTAGAGAAATGGCTATCAAGAATGCAAATATTTTGGAGATAATTTACACCAGGCACCACAAGGTGCCAACAATTGGAATTGTGATTAAAATAAGGCTGCGTGTGTTTTGTCAAGAACTGAGCTTTACTAACCAGTATACAGTAGGAAATTGGATTACAGAATTCCCACCATGAACTTACAATTCAGAGCCTGAACTACCTTCTTCACCTGGCTAGGAGAGATCTGTTTCTCTTTTCCGGATCTAAAAACATTCTGATTAAGTATCCCTTCTAAGCAAAAAGCTGGGGAATGTGTTGCGCTAAGATGCTTTACCATGTAACTGTGAAGGAAAATGGCAAACGAAAGGATGTGCTGGTAGAAAAAGGCATGTACACTTTGTCTTTTGCCCTCAGATCTCCATTCTGGCTGTAATAATTAACAGATGATTCTCATTTGCAGATTTAAAGCGTTGAAGCAGCTCATGACAATCAATAATGCATGTAAACGACGCAAACACAAATAAGCACATCCAAGTTTCTGCCTCACACTTAGGCCATGTCTGTATATGTGGAATGAATGTACTGTGACATGGCCAGGCTGTTAATTTGGGTCATCTTAATGATTGGTGCAGACTGTCAGACCATCTGATTAGCCATGATGATCAGTGGATAGCAGTGATAGCTGGAGTGAAATGGACAGCCAGGCCCCGCCACGGTCCACTGGGGCTGAACACTTGGGCGGTCCTACAAAGGTGGATGAGGAGCGGGGACAGCAGGATCTGCGGGCAGCGCTCTAGAAGGTGTGAAGAGATGGAGCGAGGCTCCAGATGTGTGTGCACATTTTTACATAACTGCCTTTAAGACAGGTGAGAAAGTAAATTAGAAATTATAATAATCATGGACGCTGGGTAGCTCAGTTGGTTGAGCGTCTGACTCTTGGTTTTGGCTGGGGTCATGTCATGATCTCAGGGTGGTAGGATTGACCTCGTGCCTGGCTCCCTGCTCAGTGGGGAGTCTGCTGGAGATTTTCTCTCTGCCCCTCCCCCTGTGTGTGCGCTCTCTCTCTTTCTCAAATAAATAAATAAATCTTAAAGAAAAGAAATAATCAGATAACTTGAAGCAAATAACTAATTTTTAGCTCAACAACTGTATTTTAAATAAAGAATAAATCTGAATTGGTACAAATGTTTACTTTTACTCTGAATTGCAGACACAACCTTTAGTTTCCTGCTGAAATATATAGAAAGGTAAATTCAACATTCATATGTTCAATAAATGTTTATTAAGGTCCTACTCTGTTCAGGGCACCGGACCACTTCTACTGGTTAAAAAAAAAAGAAAACAAAGCATATGGATTTGGCCTTCGTGGAGACTGCAACCTGGACAGTTCAAAGTTGGGAGGTGCATATAAACAGGAATGCGCCACAAGATCCTAGAGAGGATTCTGTGCAATTTCAGAGTAGATACTTCTAAAGATGGCATTCAGAAAGTCCACTTTAGTAGAAAGTTATTTTTCGTACTGAACTGAAATTTTCCTCCTTTTAATTTCTACCCTTTCGACAAGACAAGGGCAAAAAAGAAATTCTAATCCCTCTTCCACATGACAGCCCTTTAAAAATATTTAAAGACAACTATCACTTCATTTTTAAATTGTATGTCAGAGATGACGTGGCCTTTAGTCTTTTGACATCCTGGATGAAATCAATTAGCCAACCTGCCTCTTAAAAGGTGGCAGAAGTGGGTGTGGTGTTTCAACTAGAAATGTAGAGAGGAACTACTTTCTTTACCTTGCATACCAGACTTCTATTAATGTTTTGTTGGAAGCAGAGGAACAACTGATTTTTGAAATCATATCACCACTGACTTGTCTTAAGCTTTCTGATATTCCAGAGGTTATCAGCCCTGGCTGCCCATTACAATCACCTAAAATGGTTTAAAAAAAAATAAATGCTCCATTCCAGACCAATGGAATAAGAACCACTGCATTAACTAAAACTTTAAATTAGTGGTTTTGAAC